CGGGGCTGTCATTGGGTCCAAAAAGAGGGGCAGTGCCCTGCCTCCGATTCACGGAATAAGTTAAATAACGTTAAAATAACCAAAAACATACCATTAACCGACCAAAAAGACCAAGAATTGACCAAGAACATACCAGAACCGACCGAACAGACCCAGAACAGACCAAGAACATACCACCAGACCAAGAACAGACCAGAACCGACCGAACAGACTAAGAACAGACCATAAACAAACTCTAATAAAACATTAAAAACATACATTTTTTACATATTTTTTGACTTTTTGGGTATTAATAACCATTGTAATTTATAAAAGAGAAAAAAAATTAGTAAAAAAAGAAAAACCTAAAACAGACCAATAACCAACTTTAATAAAACATTAAAAACATACATTTTTTACATATTTTTTGACTTTTTGGGTATTAATAACCATTGTAATTTATAAAAGAAAAAAAAAATGGTAAAAAAAGAAAAAACCTAGAACAGACCAATAACTAACTTTAATAAAACATTAAAAACATACATTTTTTACATATTTTTTTTGACTTTTTAGGTATTAATAACGATTGTAATTTATAAAAGAGAAAAAAAATTGGTAAAAAAAGAAAAATCCTAGAACATACCAAGAACAGACCAAGAACCATCTTTTTCTTTTCTTGGTCTGTTCTTGTTATGTTCTAGGATTTTTCTTTTTTTACCAATTTTTTTTTCTTTTATAAATTACAATGGTTATTAATACCCAAAAAGTCAAAAAATATGTAAAAAAATGTATGTTTTTAATGTTTTATTAAAGCTGGTTCTTGGTTTGTTCTTCGTCTGTTCTAGGTTTTTTCTTTTTTTACCAATTTTTTTTCTTTTTTATAAATTACAATAGTTATTAATACCCAAAAAGTAAAAAAATATGTAAAAAATGTATGTTTTTATTGTTTTATTAGAGTTTGTTTATGGTCTGTTCGGTCGGTTCTGGTCTGTTCTTGGTCTGTTCTTGGTCTGGTGGTCTGTTCTTAGTTTGTTCTTGGTCTGTTCGATCGGTTCTGGTATGTTATTGGTCAATTCTGGGTCTTTTTGGTTGGTTAATGGTCTGTTCTTGGTTATTTTAACGTTATTTAACTTATTTGCCCCTATTTTGGGACCCAAGGCCCGCCTCGGCATGCCACCCCCGCGCGCGCGCCAATGCCACCCCGCGCGCACGCCAGTGCCCCCTAACCCCTACCGTGCACTAGTGCCCCCCAATTTTACCCGATTTTACAATGAAACACGCGTTTTGCCATCTTCGGGACTGGTTCGAAGTTTTTCACAAAAAAAAAGTCATTGTGTAAAAATTTAGGCAGCATTTCCCCATAAATATAAGCTTCCCCAAAGCCAAAATAACCTGTTGAATATAATAAGTGTAATTACATTGTAACGATGAAATTTTTTTTTCATGAGTACATCGGTGCGTTTTTACATTTCTTCTGATAATGTCCATATTGCCCACACCTAGCACATCGGTTTTGTCTTCGTGTGAACTCACCTATGCTGGGAATGCGTATTTGCTTTAGCCTACCCCTCTTTGGTACAACTCACGGTGGAAGAAGGTGAACTTCCTTTACGTGATTCGGAATATCCCATTGCGCCGTATCCGGCACATGATAGATTGTCTCAGCATACGCAAGAGCCCAAACTTCTGTCCTGTAGTATTTTGAGCATAAATCATAGAGAGATATTCCTGCTTCTCTACGACATGATATTGCATGCTCGCATGGTATCTGCTCAAGGTCGAACACACGACAAATGCAGCTCCTCGCTCCAATGTTGACAATTGCAGTGGCCTCTCCACCTGTCACTTGGAACTCAACAGTATTTTATCTTGTGGTCGTTAGAAATCCTGCTTTGTTGTGCCTCTCATGAAGAGTTTTTTTCACACTTGGCGTTAATAATGTTTTAGTTTTAGAAGCTTCGACACGCCTGTTATTAAACTACTCTGACATATTCACTTGTATAAAATTAAAGAGGGCAATGACAGGGTAATCTCGAACATCTTTGAGCATTGCATTAACTGACTCAGACATGTTTGTGGTCATAGTATTATATCAATTTCCTTTAAAATGAGCACGAGACCACATTTTAAAACGTACCTGCTCCTGTAGGTATCTGGCAATACTGGGATATCTTACAGACAACTCATCAAACAAGACAGAAAACTCGTCAATGTGGTAGGCCTCAACGGTTTTAAAGAACAATGGCAGAACACCGATACATCTGAAATTACTCTTGATGTTTTGAGACACATGCCATGTGCAACAACCGTGACGTGCTAATGTATAAACTGTAGATAATGCATTACTTATACTTTGATTCCTATCAGAAATAAAAACTAATTTCTCAGAATCAGTGATAATTTCCTTCAGGTTCAAGAAGAACCATGTCCAAGATGCATCATTCTCTGAGTCTACAATGGGCCACGCGATGGGATAACAATGACGTTCACTATCCTGTGCAGTGGCAACTAACAACGTACCTCTGAATTTTCCCTTCAACCACGTTCCATCAACACTGATAACTTTCCTCATGCAACCAAAACCTCGTATACAAGGTCCATATGCTAGGAAAAGATAGATAAAACGGTTATGTTCATCAAAATGAATATTGGTGATACTGTCGTGATTAGTAAGAGACGCCATATGAAAGTATGATGGGAGCTTAGTGAAGCTTTCTTCAGCCGTACCTCTTAGGAGTTGAAATGCATGCTCACGAGCCTTCCATCCTTTGTAATAACTGAAGTCCGTCCCGAATTCATCACGGGCATATTTTTGAATTGATTTGGGAACATGACCCTGTTTGACGCCTATAAATTGGTTTTTCATGCAACTTCCAATAACGGAGTACGTTGCTTGCCTGTGCTTCGCCAAACGTTTTTCTAACGAGCAAGAGTGAACACCATTATACTTGCGGATTACAAACATGTTCGATAGTTTCAGTGTGCAGGCTCGAATACGCCACACACATTTCGGATCCACATACTCTACTACAATCACGTCTTTATTTGATTTTGTTGTTCGAAATTCAAACTTCCACTTCAAAGCTATTAAATGTAGCTTTTCCTTCAAATCATTCTTACTTGTAAAGTACTGACCAACTTTTAAACTAGATCCGTCACTGAAGGTAGATCCATGAGATGATCCAAACTCAGTCTGGTCGATACAAACTAAAGGACCAGTAACTTCTACTTCATTTAAAATGGCAAGTGGTTGTGGCTCTAGCTGTGGCTGTGACTCTGGTTGTGGTTGCGACTGTGGTGGAATATTATTACGAGTCGAAAACTCATCTGGAGCTATAATACCCATAAAATCACGATAAAAAAAATCGTCATGCAAAGGATTTCTCCTAATTTTGACAAAATCAATATGTTCTTTTGGATTCATAAACTTCTCATCCACTATCACGTGTAGCGGTACCTCGTGGGCTATATCCCTAAAGAATAACAAATCATCATTGTCTTTTATTACAACGGGCAATGATTTCTATTTCAAATTCGGTACCCACGATAATTGCAAAGAATGTTTTTGTCCATCAATTCCACATTTTCTACAAATCTTATCAACGAAGGTTTCGAGAGTATCCTTCTCATCCATATATATGCCAATTAAATTACAGTCTGTATGCCACACCCAACAACTTTCATTCTCCTCCCATTTTCCTCTAATGTAAAAAAAAATCCTCCACTGAGGCATTATTTAGGTTTTAAAACTGCAAAAATTTAATCAACATAATAATATGTCATTAAAGCAAACCAAATATCCCACGAACAGACTAAGAACATACCATAAAATGAGAACAAACCAAGAACAGACCATAATTAATAAGAACAAACTAAGAACAGACAAAGAACAAACTATTAACCGACCGAACAGACTAAGAACAGACAAAGAACCGACCTCCAGACCAAGAACAGACCATTAACCGTCCAAACAGACCAAGAACAGAACACGAACCGACCCCCAGACCAAGAACAGACCAGAACTGACCGAAAATACCAGATTCGACTGAACAGACCATGAACCGACCATATTATAAGAACAGACCAAGAACCAACCATATTATAAGAACAGACCAAGAACAAAAGACCAGAACCGATCGAACAGACCAAGAACTGACCATATTATAAGAACAGACCAAGAACAGACCAGAACTGACCGAACAGACCAGAACTGATCGAACAGACCAAGAACTGACCATATTATAAGAACAGACCAGGAACAGACCACGAACCGACCAAGAACAAACCTTTTTTTTTCTAAACCCAGCATATCTTCATCATATCAGACAATGTAAACTGGTCTTTTACCATGTAAAATTACTATTTGAATGTATTTTAAACATTTTTAACTACATTCTCATCTTAAAAACACATGAACAACTACGAAAAACACTATGAGAAATATAGAAAAAGAAAGACTTACTTAGTAGCTCTTCTTCAAACTTCATTTTGGATGAGAAAAAAACGCTGAATGGGCAAGATAATAATGTTAATGAGGTTATGCGACGACGATGTCTTGAGAAGAAGAGAGAAGAAATGAAAGGCTGCAGGGAGAAGAAAATGACACGAAATGGAAGAGGAGGAGGAGAAAGAAAACTCTAAAACCATAATTGATGATGTGAAATGCTGATATGGAAGTTGGGCTACTTACCCAATTTAATTTTTTGGTGATTTATTTACTTAAAAATACTTTTTACTTAGTCTATTTATACAAAATGTCCTTTTCCGAATCGCTCTAAAAAAAAAAAAAAAAAAAAAAAAGGTGCTTGGTTGTCATTAATATCCAACGTCTGTGACAGGATTCGGTGGCCACAAGCGAAGAAAAGAGCGCCATGTTTGACCATATACGTGGCATCTTGCAATTCGGCATTGAGAAAACGAACATCCAATAAAGCCGTGAACGTAACCTTTTTCATCCCGAAATTCTAAGAGTACCCCCACTTGTTGTTTCATTATGAGGGACAAATGTGAGGGCAAACACGAGATACTATATATATAAAGGAGGTCGCTAAAGAGGCTCGGTCTAAAAGCCTTCTTATTAGATCTTTCCAGAAACCACCGAATACCACACATCTCATCGTCTCAACCCTCCCCCTCTTTCTATCTTCTTATTTCTCTCTCTACGAACTCATTAAATTCTCTCTGAAAGATCGAAACCCAATTCTCCGCTTAATCAAAACCCATATCTTTCCTATAAAACATCCCTCAATTCAAAAATTTTCCCGCGCATCCAAACACCCTTCTTATCTTTTTCTCGGCGTGAATTTTCCGGGAAAATTCCTGTTCGGATCAACTATATATCCCTTCCGTTTGCGAAAAGGTCCGATCTCTCTTTTCTTTAGCCGATTGGTGACCTCAAACCTTTAATGAGGGGCGAATCGAGTGATATCAGATGCTTTTCCGTCTTGGTGGCTCTAGGGCTTAAGATCTTGAATCGGAGGAATTTTTCTGTTTTGTAATGGAACAAATTGGATTGTTTTTAATCTGGATTTGGATATAACTGGAACGATGATGAATCTGATTCTGATTCCATCGAACGGCCGATCCGATTTCTTAACGGATCCTTCTTTTGTTTTCTTTCCCTTGTGATAAGAATAACAGCTCAAATTAACAAAATAAGAAAAGAAAGAAAATCTTGAGCTTCTGTTGTGGTTTGTTTCCAAAATCATCTTGGCCTTCCCTGAAAAAAAAAAAAAAAAAAAAGAGAATGAATGAGGAAACCCTCTCCAGTAGTTTTAGTTCTAGGTTTTCATCTTATTTTCTCGCGGTCCCTTTTCCCTCTAAAGGATCTTTAGTGGGGATGATTTTGTAGCAAAAAGATATGACTTGAAAAGTTGTAATTCGTATTTAAATTCGGTGATGTTAATACTTCTGTCTTTTTGCTATTCTGGTATAAATAGGGTTGAGTCGTTCTCACTGTAGATCGAGGGGATAGTAATACACCAATGGCGGAACAAGGTCTGGAAGGAAGCCAACCGGTAGATCTCTCGAAGCACCCTTCAGGGATAGTTCCGACCCTCCAGTGAGTATCGCAGATTTGGATTCATCGTTGTGTGTGTCTATATCTATATATATATACACCAGAAGTCAACGATAATGGTATTGTACGTTTTTGATCTCCAAGGGCTCGTTCTTTTCATAGATTTGAACCACAAATGAAACCTTTTTACTAGTGTTTTCTCTAACAAAAATTTGAATTTTTGTTCAAACCTAAAAAAAATAAACGGGCCCTGAATTTTGATAACGTGGGAAATACCAAGATCCGGTTGAATATGCATTCTATCCTATTCACATGAGTTTCCTCTTTCTTAAGCCACAAACACAATTAAGCTTTAGCTTAGCTCAACGAAAGCAAAGTTGTTAAATGACGAATAACATATTGATGTATATTGGCATCCATTTTCACGTTCCGGTTTGAATAGCATATTGATGCAGCTGAACTTAATTTCACGGACCTAACTCCTAAGTTCAGCTCTGAACTTAGCTGAAGCTTGTTGATGCTCTACGATATTAAATGCTTAGGCTAGATTTTTCCGTTTTCCTTTTCCGCTTTACGTTTCATGTTATTATGATATGAAAACACTTCTCTCCACGTTACACATTTATGTACTTCACACACCCTCCTTCCCTCATGGCCCAATCAAATTTATGTTGGGAACTTAACATGTTTGATCTTTAATACTGACATAAAAAGAAACACTTGAGACACTTCTTTGTTCTTGTTTCTTTTTGGAATTTTAAGGCATTAGCAAAATCTTTTTTGACAGACCATAGGTCGTGGGAGTACTTTGTTATTGTTTATTTTTGGAATTAAGACATTTGGCAAATAGTTCAAGTGACGGACAACTTGTAGTGTTCATGTTATTTAACACTACATTTATTTATGTGCTCCTTGAGCTAATAATAATGTCGTGTCCGAAACCAGGAATATAGTCTCTACGGTTAATTTGGACTGCAAGTTGGATCTTAAGGCCATCGCATTGCAAGCCAGAAATGCAGAATACAATCCCAAGGCATGCTATCTCCTCTCTCTGCCCCTCTTCCTTTTCTCACTATTTTTTTGGTCGATCCTAGCACCACCTCTTTTATTGAAGTCTGACTAGAAATATGAAGTTGAACCGGATGTTTTCTCACTTCTTGGAGCTTTATATTAACATGGATTCTGTTTCTTTCTCTGATGCATAATGCATTGATGTTAGTGGTAATTCTGTAATGTGTTCTAAAATATCTATAGCCTCAGTCTCATTTTAACTGTGGCTCTCTGGCTGATTTAACTTGAATTTGCCACTGTGGTTTCTAAAAGCAAGTGCTACACAAAGTTTAATAAAAGGAATCATATCCCAACATGTTTCTAATATCTATAAGAAATACTAGCGTCTTTTACTAGTTTTTAATTCATTGTTTCTCCTTGCAGCGTTTTGCCGCCGTGATTATGAGAATAAGAGAACCGAAAACCACAGCATTGATATTTGCCTCTGGTAAGATGGTAAGTGATGCAGTGGAGAAGCGTAAGAGAAAGATTCGAAGAAGGGATACAACCTTCCTAAAATCCATTGACTGACTTGTAATGATTTGTTGATTTGCTCACAATGAAAAAAATAAGGATAAGAGCAAAACTCATTGATGCTAGGAATACTGAGTATTGCACTCCAAATATTCAAAGGAAAAACTTTGAATGATAAATTTTATTAATCAAACTCTTCAAACAAACTTAACATAAAAGTGCCATATTTATTAGAGCCAAACCCTAAAGCAAACCTAATTCCTAATTGAAAATAAATCCAACTCCTAAACCAAATATAATTCAAAATTTAAAATCATGGTAATTCCAAGATAAATAACAAAAGACAATCCCAATAATGATTTAAAAATATAATGATATTCGCTTCAATATTTTCAATTATGCCTGTAGTAAGTTCCAAAGGAGCATCAAGCTGTTCTGTTTGATACTAGCATAAATTGCATGTGATGTATTATTTCTCCCTCTCTTTTTCTTTCTTGCGCTATAATCATATTGATGTTTTACCTCAAGAGTTCCCGTGTCATATGATATGGTTGTGATATTGTCATCCTAAAACATTTTGATTAGCTTATGTAGCTCATCCGGGTGCCTTTTGTGATGCTCTGATTAGGTTTGTACTGGAGCTAAGAGTGAAACTCAGTCCAAACTAGCAGCACGAAAGGTATGGTGTCCAAATGTGTGGCCCGATGTGTTTAAAATGTTTTCTGAAGATCTGGGAGACTAGAAAACAGGGTGAAACTCCCTTCTTTTTTCTTTTTTCCCTTTTCTTAGAAAGTAGGGTTTGTCTTGACTCTAGCCATTAATAGATCGGTATTAGATGTCCGAGTTAAATGATGCACATGTTGAAGATTCAAAGAATTGGATCAGGTTTAAAATTATGCAGGCCTAGGAAAAACTAGACAATAACCTGTTATATCTATGATTATTAGTGTATGATTATTAGTGATTCGTACAATCATTTTGTAAAACTATTATAAGCAAAGGTATGGAGACTAAAGGTCTTATGCCCTTAGCGGTACAGTCTTACATTTTCTTTTTGCTTTTCAGTATGCTCGAATTATCCAGAAGCTTGGTTTTCCGGCCAAGTTCAAGGTATTGTCATCTCTCTCTCCATGACAAATCAACGGTTTTTTTTTCCCTTTTTAATTTATGTTTTGATTTTTAATATATTTGGGTTAAAATTGTCATCCCTCGAACTCATAGTTTTTTTTCTTTATGGTGTAGGATTTCAAGATCCAGAATATTGTTGGCTCCTGTGACGTTAAATTTCCTATAAGGCTTGAAGGGCTTGCCTATTCCCATGGTGCTTTCTCAAGTGTAAGTGCCTTAAATTTGGCTCTTGTGTGGATTTAGATTTCTGCCCTATCTGTTCTAGGTATTACTAACAATTTTTTTTCCCCCTTTCTGCAAATGTTTATATTTTCTTGATTGAATTTTACTTTTATGTACAATTATCCAAGGAAATTTACTGTTTGGTTGTGTACCAGTCATCATGTGAATCCTAAATGCTTATTATTCATTGATGTTTGATCATTCAGATCGGAATGAAATGTCGTTTTGGGATTTTAAATAGATGGTTCTGTCTTTTGTTATCTATCTTTGACGTTGCTGAATGATTTCATATTGCTGAACCATAAACTTTTTTTTTTCCTTACAAACTTTTTGTATCAAATATTATTCTGGTCGTGAAACTTCACATGTTTGGCATCATAGTCTTGTACTGATGTGTTTCACTTATTGTTGGTCAGTATGAACCAGAACTATTCCCAGGGTTGATTTATCGGATGAAACAGCCAAAGATTGTGCTGCTTATATTTGTGTCGGGAAAAATTGTTCTTACTGGAGCCAAGGTGGTATCTTCCCTGGGTGCTCTTCGGATTCAGTTGTATTTCTCATGTTTTACCTGACCAGCATTATTGTTCTCCTTATTTAGGTGAGGGATGAAACGTATACGGCCTTCGAGAACATATACCCAGTTCTTACTGAGTTCAGGAAAAATCAACAATGGTAAGTAAGGCCTTGGCTTCTTCATATTCAATCTTCAATCATATTACATGGGTATTTATGTCATGTATATCATATCCCGTTATGTTGTGTATGATTAGTGGCGTGTCATCTGGTTAAAAGTTTTGGCCTGATAAATCATCGAAGGCCTTTTTTTATTTTTTCTTTTTGGGAAATTCGATTTAATATCTTCATAGTGAGCTTCCATTTTAATGATGGAATGTGTTGTGTACTAGTGGCTGCATAAAAACTTAAGCTAGCCAAAAAAGGAGGAGAAACACAATCTAAGCACAAAGGGAGTGATGTTTAGGGTAAATACTACTATCTAGTGCTAATTCTTGGTGATTATAATGTAATCATACGGTAATAATGGTTTGAATGTAATCATACGGTAATGATGGTATGAAATTTTTATTGTGATTGTTCGAATGTGTTGGTTAATATTCTTTTTCTTCTTGTCAGACCGGATCTAATTTGTGCAAGGGAAATTTTGAGGCGGGATTTGTGGAGACTTTGACTATGGCGGTGCTGGGATTGAGTTGTAAATATGATAGCGGGATTACTGGCTGTCTTTTTTGCTAAATAGTTAACTGCAAAGACAAATTAAGACCATTTTTGTTTGGGGTTTTTCTTTTTCCGTTCTTTTTAATTGGTGTAAACATTGCGAGACAACGTCTGATAAATCTTGAAAATGAAATGAAAAAAAAATAAAAGAGAAGAAGTAGCTTTGGACCTTCGGCAGCTTCCTGTGGACTTGAAAATTTTTCTTTTATTCGGTTTTTCAGAGAGACTAATGCAAATTATTCCTTAAAAGAAAATGTATTTATGGAATTATATAGATGATAAGACTAGCATATTGTCCGTATCCTTTTGTTTTTACCTTTTTTTTTTCCTTGAGGAATTAATTTTTATACGCTTACAGACTTGATTTAGCATTAAAAATGTATTGTTGCAATTTTGTTCTCTTTTCAGTAATGTAGGAAAATCCAACACATTTTGTATGCAGTTATTTTATCAAATAATTTCAGATTATAAACTACTAGGCACCAAAATTTTTTATTTTTTATTTTTTAAGCAATAAAGGAAAAAGGGGAATGCCAACATGTTTTATCAAAAGAATGTAAGTGACAATTTATAAAAAAAAAAAAAAATTTTTTTTTTAGACGGTAATTTTATAATTATTCCGACTACAAGGTGTAGAGATCAAATAAGAGTGAAAACTCCTTAATGCAATTGCCAAGCAAGCAAGCATGTGATGATTTAATGGAAAATTAAAACGAAAATTGACAAAAAAAAAAAAAAAAACAAAGAAAGAAAAGAAAAAAAAAGAAACGAGAAGTCCGCAACATAAAATTAAGCGTGCTTCTTAGTCTAATGAAAGATCTAAAGGAACACTAATTTAATAATTAAAAAAAAAGATATTTTTATCCTTCATTTTCGTACATTTTTATTAATATAGTTATTTAATTAAAAAATATATTAATCAACATTAAGTATAAAAATCAAGACCCAACTTTTAGACATTGTTCATTTCACTGATTTGAGTTTAAAATTTGAATTTTGTTACAGTAAAAAGCTTTCAGAAACAACCATATCTAACTTTTTTACTACAGTAAAAAAATTTCACATAAAATTACATCTCCACTCAAATTAAAAACTTAAATCATCAAACTAAACAAACTCTTAAAAATATTTATCAAAATTCCTCATATAATTATGGGAGGAGATAATAAAATGTCATGGTATCTCACATTCAGGTGTTTTGCTAAATCCATTGTTACTTTGGAGGAGTGGTTCCTCTAGAGAGACGTGAGACAAAACCTATAGTCTTAGTTTGGTAGTGCTGTAGATTTTGGAAAAATTACTTTTAGTTGTGCTGAAAGAAGAAGCAGCTGTTAGAAAAAGTAGCTGAGTGTTTGATAAACTATAATTATAGTAGCTGTGCTGGTTCTAAAATCAGCGTAATAGCGTTTGGTAAATTATAAGGTTGAATTGCTGTGCATAGTTAAAAATTATAACTATATTATATTATACTATAATATAATATATAATTACAATATAACATATATTTATTATTATATTTAATATAATAAAAAATATTATTATGTAATATATTATATAATTATAATATAAAATATAATAATATTATTAAAATAGTAACTGAAATAATTAAAATAATGATTATATTATATTATATTATAATATAATGTATATTTATTATTATATGTAATATAATACAATAAAATTATTATTAAATAACATATTATATAAT